ACTCATACGGCGGGTTCGTGATCACGTAGCTGAGGAGAGAGAGAACACACACACACACACACACACACACGCACACGCACACAGAAATCAACATTTGAGCTCTTTGCACACTAAAGTTAATGTTTACAACCCAACATTGTGTTGTGTAAATATTCAGCAATATAATCATACTATCAGAAGGTTAGTGTTAATGCTTGTGTGTGCTGTCGGGTCATTTTCATCAACTCTGGGCTGATTTTGAGTCTTAATTTGGCCAAAACTCTCTGTGTGTTTGAGCAAATGTGGTCATTTTTTCTGAATAATCTTATTTGTCAGAAATAAACCAAACAATGATAATGGATAATACATTAAGGAATAGTGCTGTATAAAATAAAATATTAAAGAAAAGAAAACACAATCAGTTGTGGGGATTTAACGGTAACGCAATCATTCTCATTCTGCCATTATAATTTCTCATTCTTGTTGTATTTCATGTTTTATTCTTGTTTATGTAAAGCACTTTAGATCACGATTGTGTAGGAAACGTGCGGTAAAAATAAACCTGTCTTGCACTGCTGGGTTAAAAGGAGTTGTTTAAGCTGTGTTTGACTCACCGTTTGGTGCAGAGGCTCGCTGCGGTCAGATGAGCGTCTCTCAGCCGGTAGATGCCGAAACACAGCATGTTATACGTCTTCAACGCTTTACAGAATAAATCACCGTAACAGCCACCGTCCTGAAACACACACACACACACACACACACACACACACGCACACACATGCACACACACACTCTTTTAATCAATCCTGCAGACCAATCAACAACAGAAATATAGTTAATGTGTCAATAATAATCCTGATTATTACATAAACATGGAAAGCATCATTTCTGCTGTGAATCTCAATTAATAAATAAAAAATAGGCAAAAAATTATACACACACACACACACACAGAGTTGGTCAGAATGATTAGCCCCCTTTGATTTTTTTCTTTTTTAAATATTTCCCAGATGTTTAACAGAGGAAGGAAATGTTCACAGTGTGTCTGATAATATTTTTTCTTCTGGAGAAAGTCTTTTTAAACAGCATTTTAATGTCAATATTATTTGCCCCTT